CTCTGCTACCTGCAAACTTTTCTCCTGCAGCCTCCCCCTCTCTCTGCCTTTATAAAATTGAAGAGAGAGAGGGCATTGCTATGGATTAGGTTTTGGCTTAAGGAAACATTTGGTCTTTCACCCAGACCACTAAAACTTTCTCCATTTCAGCAGTAAGACTATTTGGCTCCCCCCCCCCCCTTAATCATTGTGTGTTCATTGGAGCAGCATTTTAATTTCTTTCAAGAACTTTTCCTTTATAGTTACAACTTGGCTAACTGGTGCAAGAGTCCTAGATTTTGGCCTCTCTCTAGTTTTGGGCATGCCTTCTTCAGTAAGTTTAGTCATTTTTAGATTTTGATTTGAAGTGAGAGATGAATCACTTTCCTTTCGCTTGAAATCATAGAGGCCTTTGTAGCGTTATTAATTGGCCAAATTTTTTTGTCTCACTCAAGACTCAGAGTGCCATGGTGTCACAGCTCACAACAACCTCCAGCTCGTGGGCTTAGGCGATTCTCTTGCATCAGCCTCCCAAGTAGCTGGGACCACAGGCACATGCGACAACGCCCAGCTATTTTTTTGTTGCTGTTTGGCCGGGGCTGGATTCGAACCCACCACCCTCGCTATATGGGGCTGGCGCCCTATTTACTGAGTCACAGGAGCCACCCAATTGGCCTAATTTTGATATTGTTGGTGTCTCGAGGAATAGGAAGGCCTGAAAGGAGGAGAGAGATGGAGGACTAACAAGTCGGTGGAACAGCCACAACACATGCAACATTTAGTAAGTTCTCTTGTCTTGTTTGGGCACAGTTTGTGGTGTCCCCAAATAATTACAATAGAAACACTATCTATCACAGATCACCATAACAGATATGATGATAATGGAAATGCCTAAAACATTGAGAGAACTACCAAAATGAGACGCACAGACATGAAGTGAGTACTTGCTATTGGGGAAAGAGCTCTGCTAGCCTCGTTGGCCACAGGTTTGCCACAAACCTTCTATTCGTAAAAAACGTAATTTATCTGCAGAGCACAATGAAATGAAGTATGCTTGCATAGGATAGCATAAATGCGTTTTAGTGACATTGCAGGCCTTTCTTCACTAATTGCTCTGAAATTTGGTCCCTGTTTTAGGTAGATGTACTTTGAGGAGCTGTTACCTGTACTAATCACACTGGGATAATAAGGACTTCCTATACTAAGGAAGCAGAACTTTTCTGGTGGTAACAGTCTGATGCCTTGATTATGTTGATCTACATATTACGTTTTTACTATTTTATTCTTAAAATATCTTCATTCATTTATAAGTTGAGGAGAGGGCATATTCTTTATTCTTGTTTTCTATAGGATTACTTCCAAAGTGTGGTATTATTAGAAAAATCATTGTTTCCAAAGGCAATGCTTGTAAAGACGATACATTTTGGAGTCAACTGGAAGGCAGATCTATATGTGAATCTGCTTTTACCACTTCATAGACGTGTGGTAATGAGCAAATTAGGGGCGTTCTCTGAACTGCAGTATCTTCACCTGTAAAAATAGAGCACAAAGAGCTCCCTCATTGGACTGCAATGAAGATCAGATGCCAGCATGTGTAAAAGGCCAGGTATGAAGAAAACATCGAATAAATGGTAGTTACAACAATGCTGTTTGCTTTTGGTTTGCCGAATTACCAAAGTTCCATTGTAACATTAATTTATTGATTACTTTGTATATGTGGATACTTTGAATGCGTTTTGCAATGTGACCCTAGGCTCTCTAGGCTATAAAAAGTAGTCAAATATGACTTTTATTGAAAATGTACCTTTTGGAACATCTTGCTGCATAAATCTCTTAGAATGAATCTAAAATATTCTTTAAAGCTTTGAAAAAAGGTCATGAGATTTGTAAGATTTACTTTGTAAAATTTTGGCAGAATTATTTGTGAGTTGGATGGCTGAAATGGGGAAAGTCTCAATGGAAGTACTTCTGGCCCTACCTAAGCGATTTTTATAAACACATCTTGACTAAAACACAAGAAACTCCGTCTTTCCCCTTGCAGAGCCCAGAGCATAGCATTTTCAGAGTCAGATACTCTTGGATTTGAACTCCTGCTTGGCCACTTCCTGGCTGTGTGACCTTGATCAACTTCCCTCCCACTTCTAAACCTGGAGACCCTCATCCATAAAGTTGGGGCTTATAAAAATACCTACTGTTAGGACCCAATTTGCCACTGAGAGACCATGCACACATGGAAAAACCAAAGAGTTTTATTTTTTCTGGGCATATTCTCGGGTCACTCCCACCATTAAAGTGGTCGTAGAAGAGAGTGGCCCTGAAACAATGATCAGGGAAACTTTTATACACTTTCTCACAAGGTACTAAGGGTGCAATAAAATGCTAAGGAAGGTGGCTGGGGAAGAAGTCAGGGTCCGATTACCTATGGGTGATTGGGGAGGCCTGGGGTTTTGATAGGTTAACCCTGTCTTTCTGTGGTTGGGGTCTCTGCTGGGGTTAGTGGCGTGTGAACTCCTGATTGGTCGTTGCTCCCTGGGCTGTTTGCCTGATTTAAGGCCTGTGCCTGCTGTGGAGCTTCTTGCGGCCCCTGCCCCCCGGCACCCCCCACCCCTTGTCTTCTTCCCTTCCTCAGTTCTTTGTTCTTTCTTTTTATAATTATTATTACTAATCTAAGAAGAAAAATAATGGAGTCACAGCTGCCCCTTCACCTACCATGGGGCTGTCCTTAGGATGAAATGATACACTGCATAGAAAATGTTTATATGTACATAAGGCACATTGTAAATGCTTGATGGTAACTATGGTTCAAATCTTCAAACTCAAAAGCTAACAGAAGATATCATTTTGTTCAAAAGTAGTTATAGTAACACAAAAAAATTAAGTTCACTTGAATTTCAAACATCGAGTATATGGTATGGTCTTGCCTTTTCCCTCTGTAATTTCCTATATTCAAGTTCTTTTCCTTCTCTTCTTACCCATGAGCATGTTTTCTGCCGAGTGTTTCCCAATGGCTTCAGTGCATCTGCCCCCACCCCAAGTGAAATAACGTGGGGGAGGGGAAGGGAGAACAAAAACAAATTAGTAAGGGATTCCTACCCCCACTCTATCTCCATGATCCCAGTATATTCCCCTATGGGTCCCATTAGTTGAGATATCAGTTTACTGAGCTAAAGTCAGGAGACAATGCTAGCTAACATTTTGTATTCAGCTCATAGTGCCAGATACTGCACTCTGTGATTTATAACCATTATTTTGACTTTTAACAACTAGGCAAGCAGATATCACTACTACTGTTTCAGAGATGTGTAGGTAGAGGCTGTGGCCCACTACTTTGCTCAAGGTCATGCAGCCAGTTAAGTGGCTGCATCCTTGCACATTCCATGCATTTAGGTTACAGGATACGCACAGAATTCCAGACACTAACAAGTAAATAAACCAGACTTTTCTCAATCCCAGTAATTTGCGTTTAATTTCCTCTGGCAAATACGGAATTTCAAGCTGTTCTCATTTTATAAGACAGAATCTTTCATTGTGATATCAAGTCCCACAAAGTCAAGGAGAGGGAAGGCAAGTAGGGCGACTAAGATGGATGCGTTTCTTCCATTACTGGTAGAACTAAGTTTCTCATGTCTGTGCAAGTACTGGATTCTGCAGTCTTTCCAAAAGTAGCAGCTCAGCTCGCAGTGCATTTTGGAGAAATTTAAACCACCCTAACCATTTAAGGTCAAGCAAACAATCGGCCAAGCCTTGTTGGGGGGTGCGGGGTCCCTTCTCAGCCTAAAGATGTACAATGTGCGGACTTTTCATCTCAGAGGTAACAGACCTCTACGCAGGTATCTCTACAAACCCGCTCCCAGGCTCCTCTCTCACTGCCGAAACCCTGCACAGACGCCTCGCTGGGAGCCACATGGTGAGGCCACGTAAATGATCCCCAACAAGCTGCCGGCTCTAGCCCGCGCCCCTGGACTACCTGGGTTCCCTGTATTCTCTGTAACACACACTGGAAGCGCTAGGCCGGGAGGAACCGAGCCCAGCCGAATGCCTGACCCGGGCCGGGCCCGCGCTCGGGGCGGCGGGAACGCGCGCGGTGGGCGGGGGGTTCAGCGCCGGCGGGGCGGGGCCTGGCGCGGCGCGGGGGCGGGCACGGGTCGCTCTCCGCGCCGCTCCCCTTTGTTCTCTCCCATTGTGTGGCACTTCCTCATCGGCCGCTTCCTCTCCGCACCCCGCCAGCCTGCGGAGAATTCGTGAAGGGGCTTTCGATGCCTTTTTGTGACTGTTCTGTTTACTACTTGTACTGGAGGACCTGCTCCTGGCCTCTCGCGCGGCTCCCTGCCCCTGCGGAGGCGGGAGGCGGAGTGGAAAGTGGCATTCCTACCCTGCCCCCGCCTCGGCCGCGTCTCCGCGGCTTTTCCGCGTGGTCCCTCCTCCAGGAGGCATCCTAATCCAGCGCCCTGCACCGTCACCTCCTGGCCGGCCGCGTCCACGGCACCGGGGCGACCCGCGAACCCTTCCCCTTCTAGGGGTGCGGGTTCTGGACGCGTCCGGCTTCGCCAGGGTCGGAGGCCGGCGCGCAGCCCGAGCCCTGCTGCCCCGGCGTCTCGGGAGCCGGCGCGAGTGTCGCCGCGGCCCTCCCCGTCCCTCGCGCTCGCTCTCGCGCTCCCCAGCCGCCGCACGGCCGCCTCGGCCCCCTTATATAGCCCTCTAAAAATAGCTCGCTTCGCACCGCCTTGTAAGGCAGCAGGGAGATCCGCCGCGCACCAATCCTCGCCCGCTGTCAGGGCCCAGCCCCGCCCCTGGCCCCGCTCCGCGCTTCCCATTGGTCCTCAGTGACTTCATGAGCCCCCTGTTTACCTTACATGGTCACACGCGGCCTAAAGGAAGCCCTCCTCCGAGATCCCACGGCTGCGCGGAGAGCCGGCGGAGGGGGGCAGTTTGGGGAGGGGAAAGAGTAGGAGGAGGAGAAAAGGGGGGGACTACAAACTAGCAAGGATGGGGTGGGGGGTGGGGAGGGAAGAGAAGGGGGGGAGAAGCGATCGCGAGAAAAAAAAATGCAACCTCCCAAAATAAAGAGCAAAGATTGCATTAGGAGCGAACAGCGCTGCAGAAATAGATGGCAGCTTCGTGTCAGTGAGTTTGCATCCCCCTTCCTGATCCACGAGCTGGAGTGATTAGAGCCCTGGAAGGGAATTGTTACTCCCGTGGAGAAGTCCCCTTTTCCTGGCAGTCGTCTGCACTGTACACGCTGGATGCCTCTCTCCCTCCACCCCACTCACTCTCTCCTCTCTTACCTCCTCTCTCCCTCTCCTGCATTGATTTTTTTTCCTTTTTAGTTGACTGAAACAAAACAAAACAAAAGGGCCACTGGATGTCTGCCTTCTTGGGGGGTGAGCCAGACAGACTGACAAACAAACAGACCCAACTGTGTTCGGGGGAGGGTTTCGCCTCCCGTTTTGCCCGGCAGCAGCAGCATGGACGTGTTGGCTAGTTATAGTATATTCCAGGAGCTACAACTTGTCCACGACACCGGCTACTTCTCAGCTTTGCCATCCCTGGAGGAGACCTGGCAGCAGGTGAACGATTTAAATTACTTGTGTAAATCGTGTGGTGGCGGCGGAGATGCAGGGGCTGCGTTGGTGTTGGGCTTTGGGTTGAATTTTTGTTTGTTTGTTTATTTGTTTGATACCCCTCCCCCATTTTTGGCTGTATGTTTTTAAAAATGTTTTCTGAAACAGTCATATGCGCTTACCTTCCCACCCACCCCTAACCTCTTAATGTGCTGAGCTGAGCAGCCAGTCCAGGTCCAAGCTGCCTGCGTTCCAGTCACCAACACACATCCTTGCGCACACGTTGTTGGGCTCACTGTCCCCCATCAGAGACCTGCCCAACTTCTGGGGTTCGGAGAAGCCGGAGGGGAGGTGGGTTGGGGTTTCTTTTTGAGCGATCGCTGACAGGATACCACGTTCCTACATGCATGAGCTTACCTGCTTGGTACCTTAAATCAGGTTCATCTGTTTCAACTGGTGCTTCCGTCAGATTGGGGGGAGGGTTAGGAGCAAAGTGGAGTGTTTTCTCTGTAATTAGTGAATGTCAGTAGAGAATAGAAGCCTGATTTTCAGATTAGGAGGTAGGCAAAAGGAGAAGAGCCCAGTGACAAAAGATACTCAAGTAGGACGGGAAGATAGATCTATCTTCGGCTGACAATGCACTGTAGGTTTCCCCAGTGTCATGCCTCCAGAAAGAAAACACCCTGTTGTGTGTCCTTGTTTCTCTTTTTTGTCTGAGGTCCCTCTCCAGTTAGACAGCACAATCTCGGACAAAGGATACTGTGTTCTTCCCTGCCTCGGACTTTGTCTTAGCGGACTAGTTAAGAAACTCCTAGGATGCTGAAGGGCATGGATGTCAAGTTGGCTAGGCGTCCCAGGGAGGATGAAGCCTGGCTGGTGACAAGTTTGCTGGGCTTTGTGAAGTGGAATAAAGAAAGTGCTGGTCAGTGGAAAGTGCTGGGTCTGCTGCGGAAACAGTAGGTTTTTTTTTTTTTTTTCAGCAGCGATTAGGAGCTGCTGAGGGGACATTCTGCAGGAAAGATGGTGGGTGGGGGTGGGTGGCCACGGGTATTTTAAAATTCTACAGTGTGCACCATGGAAAGTCCAAGAAGACAGTTCGGATTCGCACATGGGAAGTATAATCTTGTACAGTCGGTCCTGGAGAAACCTGCTTGCCCTTGGGGAGGGCTGTGAGAGCCTCTGTGTGTGGCTGCCGGCGGAACTTCTCCGCTTAGTGACAGGAGCTTGTTAAGGCTAATGAAGGGCTAAATTTCCTCTGCCGGGATCCAAAGCAGGATTTGCCAGCTTGAGGCTGAGATGTATGCTGCTCTAGCTAGAGGGGTTTAACTTTTAGAATTAGGAGCCCAGTGGCACAGCAGAACCTCTCACTGGACCATTGTTACTGGTTGTCCTCCCATGATCAGAGCCTGTGAGTTTTCCTCCAGGTATCAGTCTGTGTGTCCCTGCACGCATTCCTGTCCAAAGATGCTGGCAGATACTTTGACTCTGTAAACATAGAGTTCATACATTTTTAGCATAAGGCATTTCTTCAGTGCATCCTTACCGGTTGTTCACAATACTGTATTCCATGAAGGGTCTCACTAGATCTTTCTGCCTCCTTTTATCTCCCATGTTCACATGCTAATTAAACCAAAATGTTGCCAGAATTTTATTCTCTGAAATAGCTTTCATTTCACACTGTCAGCCCACTGGTGTAGAATCAGTTGCATATTAACAACTGTCTAGACAGGTTAGGGACGGGAATCTGTTGATTTAGTCAGCCTGCCCAAGGCAGCCCTTGTTTGTGACTAACTGTTGGTGTTGGAGGGAAGAAAGTTGGCTTTATTTGTTACAACGTTCTCTCCTGATGAATCACACAACTTTGTTTTGGTTCAAGTCTTCACAGTAGTAAAGACTGATTTGGGGAAAGGCCTCTCTAGGGGAAACCTGCTTTTCTAGATCTGGCTAGATCATCCAGGAGAAACTCTGGATCTGCAAAGGAACATCATTGGGTTGACAATTAGAGGATGTTTTAGATCTATTGTTTCCTAAGAAGCCATTTCTGCTTTTCCTTCTCCCCTCCCCCTCCTCCCCCATCCATCTCTTCCCCCTTCAAGGAACCTCCAGCATAGTTTCTATCTGCAGGCAAAGGAATTTTCAACCTTCAGCATCTCTTCATTTCTTGCCTTACCCCTCTCTAACTGCCAGCCATTCTCATGTTAAAACCCCTCACCAAGTTATTTTAGAGGCTTGCTTTTACAGAGGCATGATACAACTTGTGGAGAAGCACTTATAAACAAGATATCACTTGGAGGAGCTTTATTCTCTGGACTTTGTAGTCATAACTGCTTTTCATAAAGGTGACTAAGACCCTATGTTGACAAAGTCTCTATCCCTTCCTTTCTCCCTCTCCCTGAACCCCCTTGCTGCTTCTGAGTGTAAGGGATGGTGATGGTTATATGCGACTGTTAGTTCCAAATCAACCATGAGGTGAAGAAATTTTGAGACTTCCTTGCTTAAAACAGCTCAACAAGGTTGCCACAAAGAACCCTAGGCAGGAGGAAGTTTCTTGATGCTCTGGGGTAATAGGATTTTAAGGTCAAATGAGGAGTAATTATTAGATGTTCTCTTAAAGTGAACAGTATACCTGGCCTCGGGGAGATGAGTGAAATACGGAAATTCTGATAATCTGATTTAGTTTCTAGAGGAAGCGTGTCTTGGATGATAAACCCAAAAACATCTTTACATTTGAAAATTGAGGATGGACCGTTTGGGAATTTTATTTTAGGTTTCTGATATGGGATAATTGCCCTGTCTAATAGTCAGGGAGCCTGTGGCAAAGTCACTGACTGTGACAGGGCCACCTCCTGACATGGAGATCATCATTTTGACGTTGGTTTTTCAGACATCGATGCCTTGGCCACATAGCTCCAACTCTGAAAAATCATTGCTGGTATAATTTTAAAATCTAAATGGACATCCCACATTAACAGCTTTCCATTCCTGAGCTCTGACTGCATACTTAAGCACTTGGCCCAAGTAACATCATCTCTGCCTGTCATATAACTGTAAATTACACTGTGCTTCTGTGGTCTGTTATTTTATGGAATTCAGCTGATGCTCGACTCTTAAGGCTACCAGTCTTGAGCGCTTTGAAAACTTGCAGGAAATTTTCCAAGAGCTGTCTGAGCAAAAATAGGAAAAAGTCAAGTGTAGGACAGAAGCTGGAATGGTGTATAGGGTACCACTTGACGATGGATAGGAGGACATCCAGTCATGACTTTTCTTGCTGACACAAATCATGATTTTTTTTGGGGGGGGGACTCTCTGAGGCCTTGGAAAGTAAGAAAGGCTTCGATACATTATATACTCTTAGTTATTTTCTTCTAGAAAATTCAAATACTGAGAATTTTTATATGCTCTTTCTCATTTGTGAGGTTATGAATACACGTCAAGTAACAATATTCTAAGTCTTACCAGGACTTAGCTTCATGTCATTAAGGAGCACGACATGTTTACTTGAAAACTCTTATGGAATTATGTTCGTTGTTAAAGCTGATTCATAATTGGCAGATTGGGTCAGTTTCAGGCCTCCTTTTTGCTCAGAGAAAATTTTCCACTGCTACTGGAAACAAATAAATAAATCATAGAACATTCCTCCTTCCTTCCCCATCCCCACATTGTTTTATACTAATGGCATAGTTGGCTACCCTGTAAGGACTAAAGTGTCCCCATAACACGGCAATTTCATTTTGGTTTCAGACACCCTGAAACCAGACCTTTTCACGAGGGCCTTTGATACAAAGCATCTCTAGGGGAAAGCCTGCAGAAGTGGTTGCATTCTAAGAACTGTCTTATGGTACCAGGGATGGGATTTGGTCCTTGAGCCACATTGCTTCCGTGTCTGTGATGGTCTTGCCTTTGCACTGCCTTCTATAGGCCTGAACAGCCAGGTGCTGTCTCAGCCAGAAAAACAAAGCAAACTACAGGGTCCTCTGTAGTTTTGCCTCTGTCCCCAATTTGCAGACAACCTTGTCATGAATTAGAATTTCTTGGCAACAGCACCACCCAGGGAAATTTGTAGACACAAAGGAGTCTTGCTAGCCACATTGAAAGGGTAAAATAGCTTTTTTTTTTTGCTTGTGATATGTATGTTCTTCAGTTACTGTAAATCTATTTTGTTTAAAATTTGAAACAGTGAGTTGGTAAATGGAAAGAAATTAGAACTTTGCTGCTATCCAGATTTTTCTTTATAAGGTTGCAATCACTAAGTAAATGTAGCTTTAAAAATGAAAGCACATGTGAATTCAATCAATCACACACTTGCCTTTCTTTAATAGATTCATTTCCATGTTCTTTTAATAGACACATCTTTGTGTAGATTCGGGAGCTCTCAAACGTTATCATACAAACATACCTGTTTGTACTTTGGTAATTTAAAGTGGGTGAACATTATAAAGCAGTTATTTGTATTACATCTGTCCTTGGAAGGCGGAAAAGGAAGTCACCATTCTTTGTTTACCATAAACCTCCTTACTCCTTACCTTGTGGAGAATGGCATGGTGGGGTCCCATCCATTTAAAATGCAGAGCAGAAGATGCAGGATGACAGCCTTCCCCTGAAATGATTTGTGTGGGTGTATGTCAGAGACCTTCCATGGCCAAGTGTAGGCTATTCCTGCCTCTCAGCTAGTGGGGGCCAATTTGCCTCTCCATTTAAATAAGGGTAATTTAGAGAGGGTCTCAATGGGGCATTTACTGGCCCATTCTCTAGTGAATCATCAGATTCTTCTCCCTTCAGGGAATTCTTGTATTTTAACTTTTTGAGTACAACAAGGCTTTGAAATCTTTTTAAATCATTCTTTGTACCTATTGAAGAAAAAAGAACACAGTTTACTCTGGCCAGTCCCTAATTGGCTCATAGGGACAGCTTTGATAGGACAGCTGCTTTGATACCAGACTGATGCCCCCCTGTCTTTGCAGTTTGTAGTAGTGTGCAAGGGGTTTTTAATCACCTTTTTTAGACCC